AGTGAACAACTTGATACATTAGTTTATGCCCATTACCTAATATCATGGAAATTTTTACATTATTTTTAGTAATTCCTCAATGACTCCATAATTGAATTAGTTATATAAAACCTTGATATAACATTAAGCATTGTTTAACTTTTGTACCTTTACCTCACTGGTTCTTGGTTCAAGGTAAGGTTTTATAATCAAATTATATATCTTGTTTTTTTTGTTTGTTTCTATTTACACTGACCATGACCTTTCTGCTTTTATAAGACAGACTAACTTGATTTTGTGAAATAGATAGCATCTCTTTCTGTTGCCCAGGGTGAATGCAGTGGGGCAGTCAATGCTCACTGCAGCCTCAAACTCCTGGCCTCAAACAGTCCTCCTGCCTTGGCCACCCAGGACATTGGGATGATAGGTGTGAAGCACTATGCCTGATGTAACTTGGTTTTATAAATATTTTCCTGGAGTATAATTTCTGTCATCTAATGTATACTTTCCATCAAAAAGTCCCCATTTTCCTATAGCAGGAGTTTTCCTACAGCAAAAGTGACTCCAGACACTTCTGTTTTAGGTAGATACAATAGAATTTAAAAATAGATAATATATATTTCTGGAAGGGATAAAGAAATCAAAAAGCATTCTCACTTATTTTTTTAAAGCAAACTTTGAATTTAAAATGGTGGTAACTAAAATTGTTACAGGACAGATTGTAGAACATATTTAAAAACCTCACAAGTTGTTGAGAAATTCAGTCATTCTTACATACTTTCAATTCATTCATTCCTTCAATCATTTATTCAATGAATATGTATTGATTAGTACCAGGCACTTTGGAAGGTCTACCCTGTTTACCTCAAGAAGGTCAAGGAGCAATAGGAAATATATGTAAAACAATATGTAGACCCACGTCAACCTAGTGTTTGACAGTTCATCCAGAAGCTGCAGGGGTGCAGAGCAAGGAGTTTCTCACCTCACTCTCACCCTCTGGGAACACCTTAATCTTCACAGAACTCTTTTAAAAATATCATTGTGGACCCAGAGGCACCCAAACCACTGGTCGTTCCTCAGAGTTGAAATCAAAGTCTCTGATCATGCATATATTAGGTCACATTTTAAAAGAAATAGTCCCGGTTTCACTTCTGGTTATAGACGTAATATGAGCTTGGTATATAAAATTAGAAAATTATAAGGGAGTTTAAGAAGACAATTCATCTAATACCTAAAAAGAAAAAACACTGGCTACACTGCATTTTATTTCTTTTCTCTAGTGTGTACACGCAAACACACACACATACCCACACACGCAGAGCCACCTGCTAAGTAAGACATAGGACATTTCAACACATACAACTTACTTACCTGCTAAGTAAGACATAGGACATTTCAACACATACAACAGTGGTTCCATGTGATTATAAATACTGTATTTTTACTGTACCTTTTCTGTGTTTAGTTATGTTTAGAGAGACAAATAATTACCACTGTGTTACATGTCAACACAATTCACTACAGTAACATGCTGCACAGGTCTGTAGACTGAGAGTGATATGCTGTACCACGTAGCCGAGGTGTGCAGCAAACTATACCATCTAGGTGTGTGTAAGTATACGATGGATGCACAATGACAAAAGCCCTGACAATGCATTTCTCACAGTGTAGCTCTGTTGTTAAGTGAGGCATGACTCTCTCTCTCTCTCTCTCCCCAAATATATAATATATATATATAATTTGGGTCTTTTTTTCATAATTGAGACTATGTGTGAAGTAAGTTTCTTTTCAACACATCCTTTAAAATGAATCCAGGAACTAGTGTTTACATAATTTGAGTCTTGGAGAAAGCAATTCTACCTTGAAGCAAATCCTGGGAGATATTATCCAAAAGGGCATAGAGGAAGCACTTTCTATTATGTAACTGGGGAATATCCATTTCCAGGACTCAAGGGAGAAGAGATTTATTTGTTCATTTTGTGCCATTATGCTAATGTCATCATATTACGTTACTTGAGTGCTTGAGCTCAACTGGATACAGTCCTTTCTTTATCATGCTCTAGGGAGGGAAGTTTATCCTAAAGTACAACAGCTCCATCCTGACCAGACTTCTCCACCCTGACTCTGGGAACATGTGTTTTTTGGAGTTTGGATGTGATGCAGACCATTGAGTTTTTGATGCAGCAGTTATAGCCAGTGCATAGTTATAGGAATATCATGCGACACTTTCACAACCTCTGAGCATTCAATTTTATTTGAAGAAGTTGTTTTTTCCAAAGCTAGATGGAGTTTCTTGAAGAGAATTTTAGTTGGGGAATTATCTTAGTGATGGTGAGAAGAAAGACAAACTAATGGTTTCCTGGTGATTTGGGTTTGGCTCTGTGTCCCCACCGAAATCTTATGTCGAATTGTAATCCTCACTTGTCAGAGGAGGGGCCTAATGGGAGGTGACTGGATCATGGGGGCAGATTTACCCCTTGCTGTTCTCATGACAGTAAGCTCTAATAAGATCTAATGGTTTAACATGTATGACACTTTCCCCTTTGCTCTTTCTCTCTCTCTCTCCTGCTCCACCATGGTAAGACATGCTTTCTTCCCCTTCACTTTCCACCATGATTGTAAGCTTCCTGAGGCCTCCCAGCCATGCTTCTGTACAGCCTGCAGAACTGTGAGTCAGTTAAACCTTTTTTCTTCATAAATTACCCGTTCTCATGTAGTTCTTTATAGCAATGTGAGAACAACTAATATACTTGGGCTGACACCAAGTAGGATCAAGAATGACCAATTATATAAAAGCAAATTGCCTGCAATAGGAAGTATTGCCTAATGAGATCAGCTTGCAACACAAGGCTTTGGGTGATGAGATCCAGTAGTTCAGGAGATAAAGCTGATTCTTGGCAGACAGCTATCTAATAGAGTAAGGACTATGCTGCTCCTGAGGAAGATGATTTGACAAATAGTGTTACTTTGTTATAAGAGTATAAATCTGAAACACTGTGTATCATATACACCAGCTCCCACTCTTATTCCCTAGTGACTATTTGGCCACTCAGAAACAACTGCTGACCTACTCTGCCTCTGCAACCTAGAAGGTTTTTTACTTGAAAGCCCAATCCAGGTAATCCATAACCCACAAAAAATTACTTTCTGGCAACATTCTTAATCTGGTTTGCATGACTTCTCATGTGCATATAAGAGTAGCTTTAAAACTCAGCCCTGGCCAGACACGGTGGCTCACGCCTGTAATCCCAGCACTTTGGGAGGCTGAGGCGGGAGAATCACAAAGTCAGGAGTTCGAGACCAGCCTGACCAACATGGTGAAACCCCGTCTCTACTAAAAATACAAAAAGTAGCTGGGCGTGGTGGCACAGGTCTGTAATCCCAGCTACTCGGGAGGCTGAGGCAGGAGCTTGCTTGAACCTGGGAGGCAGAGGTTGTGGTGAGCAGAGATTGTACCACTGCACTTCAGCCTCGCTTCAGAGCAAGACTCTGTCTCAAAAAAAAAACACAAAAAACTCAGCCCTCTGATGCACTTTTCTGGCTGCCAATTACTATTGCAGTTAATTAAAATCTCTTCCTCCAAAGCAAAATTCAAGGATGGTAAAAGAGCAGCTTTGTCATCACAGTCACCGCCTGACTTTTCATCTTCTACCCATTTCTAAAGCCACTTAAGAGACTTCCATCAGAAAAAAGATTATGAAGGTATGTATCTATCATGACGCAAATTTATCACAATAATGAAGATATAAATAACTTTGTTCCTAACAACCTGAAATAAAACTATTATTAAAATAATACCTTTTCTAGAGTCTCAATAGCACTTCCATATGTTGTATGAAACCAGATGAGAACTCCCCTTTGTAAGACGCTATTATCAATCTTGAACCCTTTTACAATTTACTGCTACGTGTCTATGGGTATTAGTACTGCCATGTGTCTATGGGTATTACCAGACTGTCAGCTTCTATCAGATCTACCCAATTGTAAACTTCTGTAATGCCAGGACTATGCCTTATCCATTTTCTTCAGTTCCACAAAATTAAGAATGTATGTTAAAATTTTTTAATTTAATTTTTTATTTTCTAAGAAAATATGTATTTTTAATACGGTCATAATGTACGAAGTAGGTAAGCAATAAATACTATAAATGAATAAACCTTTCAATTACTATAACTAAGCAAAAACTAGCCTATACTTTCAGAAATCTTGAATGTGGTTAACTTTGGAAGAAGGCTAGTAAGATGAGAGAAAACAAGGGGGTTTAGAGAGATGGCAGTAATGTTATGTTTCTTCATGGGGGCTACTTATATGGGTGTGCTCAGTTGAACTGCACACTATGTGTAATTGTCTTCATTATATTTCAATGAAGTAACAACACATATATTCCAGGTACTACATAGAAGACCTTCATAGTACACTTGTTTCTTTGCATTAGGTTTTAAAAATGATGACATTTTTTCTAAAGAACACAGTAATTTTGGTAGTGGGTAGAGAGGGAGTAGATTTGGTAAATTATACTACAAAATTAACAGGTTATTTAATTATGCAGTTAGATTTTACTCAGATGCTCCCCAGAGTGTCTAATATAGTACCCCAGATGGAGAACATGTTTAACTAATTATAGATGATTTACATGCAGATATATACATATATATTCATATAAAAGCCACACATTTATATGTGTATATATATATATACACAAAAAAACACATATTACTTCAGAATGATATTACAAGTTTTATCAATTGAATTATCAATTGCATATGTGATCTATTCTGCATAAAATATTGGCTTCATAAGATTATGTAATTAAGTCAAACAGGTCAAGAGAACTTTTAAAAAATGCTTTAAAGTGACTCCCTTTTGAGGATATATTTATTCATTTATTCGATTTTTTTTTTTTTTAAGACGGAGTCTACCTCTGTCACCCAGGCTGGAGTGCAGTGATGATCTTGGCTCAATGCAACCTCCACCTCCCGGGATCAAGTGATTCTCCTGCTTCAGCCCCCTGAGTAGCTAGGATTACTGGCACGCACTACCACCCCCGGCTAATTTTGTGTTGTCTTTTATTTTTAGTAGAGATGGGGTTTCATCATGTTGGCCAGGCTGCTTTTGAATTCCTGACTTCAAGTGATCCACTCACCTTCGCTTCCCGAAGTGCTAAGGTAATTGTCCTCATTATATTTCGATGAAGGATTACAGGCCTGAGCCACTGCGCACAGCCTTATTCAACAAATATTTATTACACCATGCTAGGAGATGGTGATACAAAGATAAATACAATATGAATCCCTTCCCAAGAATTCATAGTCCACTAGGGAGGAAAGGTGCATAAATACATATTTTCAGTGGAAAATAATATCTCCAGTAAAGGAAGCCTGTACAGGGTCAAGTTGTAGTGTAAAGAAAGAAGAAATCTCATTAGAAGCAATAGAAAAGTTTAGTAGAGAATGAACCTCCTACACCCGGTGTTGAAATTTGAGTAGGAGAAAATCAGATAAATTAAAGATTTGGGAAGAAAAAATGTTATTTTAGGCAAAGATAAAAGCAAGTGACAAGCATCAGAAGCTACTAAATGAATGGCTGGAAAAGCTGAAGGCCCTCAGCAGTGTTCAAGAACTTGAGGAATTATAAACTCACAACTCTTGAAGTCTCTCCCTTTTTCCCTGCCTCTCTCCCTCAGTCTGTCATTCTAGCCCTCAGCTCCACGTTATTTCTCTCCACTTATCTCTCACTCCTCAAACGGAATATTATTTGCACATAATTATACTTGCTTATCTAAAAATGTTCACACATCACACCTGAGCTTCTCAATGACTTAACATCCTCTGCACTTCTAGGTTAATCAAAATTGCTTTACAATAACTTACACCCCTGAAAAGCTCAGTAGTAGTGGCAATTTCAATTCCCATTCCAAATCTCTTCTTTAGTTATTTCAGTACATTCACAGACTATCTAAATGATGGTCTTTTTATTCTAGTAATAATCTGTATCTCAAATAATTTTGATGCCTTTGCAGCAAAAGTCACAATCTAAAGGCTAAAAGGGCCAGGATGGCAAGGTATACGGTATTATCCGGCAGAAGAAAAACAATGGGAGTTGACACTGAACTTCAGAGTGGTGGAAAAAGGACAGCAGGGAAGCTGAAAGACTCAAGAACACACACCACTACTACAGTGGAAACTTTCTATTTGCTGATGTAAGTTTTGCCAACTGAGAATAAAGGTTATGTTTATACATGTTGGAGTTTTTGAAAAGAAGCTGAAGATTCAGATCCTATGTGAAATCTCTCAATTTTCAAATGTGGTCATCAAATTAAAATTTTCAAGACCACATCGGGTAGATCAAATGAAACATGGCTAAGGGCCACATAAACCAGCTGGCTGCTAATGTATAACCTCTGTCCTACAGGGATGTTTGTGAAGAGTTTAAGTGAGAATAATCTGAGAAATATGCTTGACACGATGTCTACCATGCGATTCTGACTGAGGTGGTTGCTATAAACAGCTGGATTGATTATAGCCTCCAAAGGAAGGTCTATCTGCAAAGACTTATGCTGTTTCCTAAATAGGGGGATCCCTACTTTACTGCTTTACTGTAGTCCTCCAGTTACTGACAAATTCTTCTTGAGCAGGAAATAGTATCTTAAAAGTCTTTTTATGCTTTGAACCTATGATAAGAACTCAATAAATTACCATGGTTGAATTAAAATTACAAAATACATTAATATCACAAGATTCTCTGATAAATCACCTTCCTTATCTTCCTCTTTCAGTTGCATTTTGTATCTTAGAAAAAGGAGTTTGCACAGTAATGACAAAAGTATAATTTTTGCTACTTATTAGTAAATTGTTTAGAAATTCCTCTCCAGCCATTAAATTTTGGCACAATTAGTTCTGTTTAACAACACGTTGATTGACATCTCGGTTCTGGATTTAACTCCCAGATTTCCTTCTTTCTAGATAATTTACCTTAGCTTTGTTTACTTTTGTTCTCTGAATCTTCCTTTCTTCATGTGCAAAATGGAGACGATAATACTGTCTACCTCATAGGGATGTTTGTAAAGAGTTTAAGTGAGATTAATCTGAGATAAAAGGCTTGACACATGCCTGCCATGCAATTCTGACGGGGTCGTTGTTGTAAACAGTTGGATTGTTTACCGCCTCTGAAGGAAGGTCTATCTGCAAAGAAATGACATTAAGTGAACTAATGCCTCCTTTCTTCATCAGAGATGTTCAAACTTGAGGTTTATTTGCATTCTATGTTTATATTTCAAAGAAGTTAACTATATCAAACCTTCATCAGAGATGTTCAAACTTGAGGTTTATTTGCATTCTATGCTTATATTTCAAAGAAGTTAACTATATCAAACCTGTGCTAAAAAATAAAACAAAAAAATACAAGCACAACCACAGCAAAACAGATCTTGGTTCGCTCAGGGCCTTCACATCTCTCAGTTTAGCCTACACATGCTTCTTCACGTCGTAATTTTGCTCATAACCTTGGCATTGCCTATTTTCCACTTAAGCTGAACAGAAATAAACCCCAGGGTTTCAATGAAATCTCAGAATGACACTTCCTCATCCAGCCCTCTGACTCCATTGGGTGGCATTACAAATGACTACATGTTCCCCTCCTCTCGAGAAGAAAAGATTAGAAAGTTCCATCTTCTTGGCTTTGAGTGTGTCTTCCCAGCACCACACCTTTTCATATGATTTTTTTTTAGAATGCAATGTGAGAGTAAAGCCAACAGAGAAAAGTTCCAACAAATGGAATTGCCATAGCAACACTCTACATTTCTCATCAAGTTTGGTCTTGTGTGGATCATCACATTAAAGCTTGTTTTTCAGTTTGGTGAAAGCCATGGCTGTAATCTTCAGTGAGAAAATCTCTTTGTCCTATCCAGAAGTTAAAAATAGAAGAAAATAATTTGAATTATTTTACGAACATAAAAATATAGCATTGCAGCTCCTCCACAAATGGAATTAACTCGTACAATGCTGACATTTGAGACCACTTGAATTTCCCGCTTATGTTTTCAAATTGGATTCAGCACTTGTCATTATGACTTATTATTTGTTGAAAGCTGACCAAGTTCTCGATTCTAAGCAAAACAATGGCTATGGTACTTATTTCCTTCTAAGGGACAAGGTACAAAATCATAACACCGAAAAAGACACTGGACGAAGGTTGTGTGTGTGTGTGTGTGATTTACTTGTTTTTGATAACTAGAAAATTAGTCCACATTAGGTTATCCCTGGCTAATAAAGCACATATTTTAAAAACTGCATTTGAAAAGGTTTCTTTGCGGTGAATTAAAAGTTTTTTTTTAAATGAGAAGTCTCACAAAAATAACAATATATTGTAAAGTGGTTTTAAAAAATGTTCTTTTAGAATTGCAAATTAGTCTTTGGAAGGCTGCTTTTTCTCTTCAAATGTCTGATGAAAAGCAGGACTTCTGAAATGAAGGAAATGTGAATATTAGGATTTTTTTTCAATGTGTACTCTATAGTAGTTAGCACAAAAATCAGATGTATTCTTAGTCCAACCTAATACTTAAATTTACTATCACATATTCTTAATTTACTCCAACAAGTTGTCTGTCACGTGAACATTTTGCATGTTGCTATTTTAGGTTATACATGATAATAAAACTATAAATAAAAAGTTAAAATATGCTTCACCATTTTTCCTAGTAATAGGATATTATAAATTGATCATTATTATCAAAGAATATAAATTTGCATTACAAATATTACATCAAAAACTAATTAAATCCTCCATAGTCATATATGGTACCTGGAATTTACAGAATTAATGAAGTATAAAAAAGATGCACCTATAGACATAAAAGATTAAGTTGGTTGATGCAGTTTTTTAAATAAAAAGATCAAAAAACTACTTATCAATTAGTACTTAAAACCATATGTATAAAGTTGATCATTTTCAAAAACAAATATCTATGGAATTCAATTATTGTTAGCAACACTCTAGTCACTTTGATTTGTTTTATACAGTAAAAGAGAGAAATTATTATTAGATTTTAAATGTTCCTTCTCTGTCTCTGAAACAGACAGTCATGCAATTGGCATATTTTCACAGCCTTTGGCAATGATACACACAATTTTATTCATGGATATTAATTCTCTTTTTAAAACCACTAGCCTACCCCTCTTACTTCTCTCTTACTTCACATTGGTGTTTATTTCACTGCCACAAGCAGTGATGCATGGACATTACACTATAGATATTCATAATTTTCCTGCTTTTGCCTTAGTGCATAAAATGTTCACTTGTACATTGTTAAGAGGTAAAAACTGCATCACTTCATCACAGGTTTATCATTAAGTGACCTCCATCTTATGGTGATTAAATATCATGAGAGTCTGGCATAAAGATATCAACCAGCGGGATGAGCTACAGGAACTGGTGACAGGGAAGATGGCTGCGTAACACTGACAGCTGTGAAATAACCTACGATCTTAAGGAAAAGTCAGAATTACATGTTATAACCTAACCATCACTTGAAAGCTAAGATTCCGCAAGAAAAAGACTAGAAATTCAATTGTTTTCAAATGACATATTGGATTATGATATTTCAGCAATTACTTTGTCACAAAATCGTTTCTTCTTTTTTATTTTATTTTTTCCTTTCTTCCCCCTGTGGAGTTGTGGAGATAGTGATGGGGACTCTGGCTTCTCCCAAAATAACCTTTAATTATAGTTTTTGATCTTGACATTCTCGAAAAGTGCCCTACTGGCTAGTCTTCTGTAAGTACCATCTGTAGGTTTTGATCATAAACTAACTGGTCCTAGAATCTCCCTGGCAAAAAGCACTGCGAGTCATTTTGGGAAAAGTCAGGCATAGTCAATTTTCACAGTCTTGAAACTTGAAATGATTTCTTCCAGCTTACAGGAAGAAAAAAATTTTCTGGCATGAAATTCTGTGTTAGAATTTTCAAACAAAAATAGAGAAGAAAGCTGGAATATAGCAAAAAAATTAGACAGTGGAAATTTGAATATACTAGAAGCTGCATTTGTCAGGAAAATAAGAATTTGTGACTCTATTGTTACAGTTACATCTAATTATATACTCCTGAAATGTGAGGAATTTATGAAGAATGTGAGGAACTTATGCATTTCTGAAGAATGCATCTAAGAATGAAAGAAAATATATAGTACAATATATTATAATAATGTAATAATATATACCAGTACTTATGAAGGAAGTTTTGTAAAGCAACTTTGAATTAGCCGGTGTCTTAACAAACAGCTAAAAACAGCTTTAACTGAAAGAAAAACAAAGAAGGGTGGAGAATATCATATTTATGCTGCTCTCTATCAGATAATGCTAGACACTGCTAATCTCTTACAATATGGCCGGTGCTCACTGTTGTTAGAAATAATAGCACTGCACATTCACCTCTATAGAGGGACATTTAAGAGGCTGTTGCTTCTTTGAACAATCTCAGTGATTTAAGATTTTGACAAAAGTATTCCTTGGGAAGATGAGGTGGTTTCTGCCGTAAGTGGTATTTTAGAAAAACTACTGCCTGTATTAATCTGCTTTATTTGCCTTTGTTGTTCATACAGTTAAATATAGCTTCCTTGAAGTATGGAAACTGTTATGAGGTATTCTTTAAACAGCAACATTTTTCTTCTTTTTAATATTTTATGAAAACATATCCCCGAAGAATCCTGGTGTATGGTATCTGTGCCAATCCAGAGAATAATGCATGTTTATACTTTTCTAAAGGGTCAAGAGTCTATGGAATAATCTTCTGTGAAAGATCTACCTGTAGTACACTGGGATCATAGAATTAGCATGGCCTGAATTTTTACAAAAGTCCAAACTTATATGTACCAGAAAATTCACGTCAATGTTAATTATAAACAAATAAAGCTATTTTAAGAGAATTAGTTTGTGGTTCACATTGTCTTTTAATCTGTTTCCTACCGACTCTAATCTATCTTTCTGGAAATGAACACAGAGTGTTGTGATTACGGCATCTGTTTCTAATGTGAATTTTATTTCTGGTACCGCTAAGCTTGCTAATTTAAAGCTATACAAAATACACGTCTTTGCTCACTCATCCTCATATTCACTTTTTTGTCTTTTTAAAAAAAATATAAACACATATCAGCTGAAAAACCTTTGCTTAATATTTAAATGATGCTATGTTATGCTAATGTTAGTCATGGTAGTAGTGTGTGGTTGTAACTTATTGAGAGCTTTTAACCTGTCAGCAGCTGCTGCGCTAGGCAGGTTCATCACCATCATCACCATCATTATCAGTCACATACAATGTTTATTAATTGTTTATCTGGCAATGTACTCTATATATGGCATCCATTTAAAATCACACAAGCAGAAGCTCAAAAAGGCTCATAACTAGTAAGAAGTTGGATCTTAAATTCAAATCCAGATCTAGCCATTATAATTTAGCAGCTCTGAAACTGTGCATAATAAGTTTTAAAATTTAATACATTTCGAAGTCTTCCCAAATAGCCCATTTTCAAAGCTGAACACACAATCTAATATATTCTCTACCTGTTACATGATGGCTGTATCTGTCTGAACTGACTCTCTGAATATAGGAGTTACCTCTTAAGAGAATCTTCACATGTAACAATTTTCATAGTTTTCAAAGCTTTTACTAATGATTAGAGACAGAAGAAGAAATGCATCACACAGTGATGCATTTTCTACCTCATCAGCTCTGTCCCCTTTCCCCTCCCTCTTCCTCATTCTTACTTCTTTCCTGTGACATTGAAAGTGCCCACCCCTTATCCCTGAATGTGGAACACTCTGCATATCAGGGGATCTCTTTAGGGACTGAACTTTGGAGAATGTATTGAAGTCCCAAGTGAGTTTATGAAAGAATTTTTATTGTGGTAAATAAAATTTTCTCTATCTCGCCTGCCAATTCACTTGAAATTATTCAAAAAGCAACAGCATTGTAGTTGCTGAGAGTATGCAGAGAATCCATGTATTCTTTTCTCAAAACCCATGTATTTTTAAGCTGTGGTGGGTAAGACATTCTTCTCCACATAATCTGATTAAAGGCTTACCAAGTACGCAGTTTTTCTGTTAAGCGTAGTTGAAGAAAGCAAGAGAATGAAAGGACTGAAGAAGCAGTGCTTGTGAGAGGTTAACGATGCACTGACGATGCACTGAAAATGTCTAGTGACTCAAGACTTAGGAATGCACAACATGGTCAGGTAGAGAATAACAAAGAAGTTGATCATTTGCTATTTTTACCCCTTGGTGGTTTTTATTGTTGTTGTTGTTTTTGTTCGTTTTGAGATAGGGTCTCGCTCTGTCACCCAGGCTGGAGTGCAGTGGTGCAAACTCAACTCACTGCAGCCTCCACTTTTTGGGTTCAAAGGATTCTTCTTCCTCAGCCTCCTGAGTAGCTGGGATTACAGGCACCCACCACCACATCCAGCTAATATTGTATTTTTAGTAGAGACAGGGTTTCACCAGGTTGGCCAGGCTAGTCTTGAACTCCTGACCTCAAGTGATCTACCTGCCTAGTCCTCCTAAAGTGCTGGGATAACAGGCATGAGACACCACACCCTGCCTACCCCTTGGTTTTGATACAGAAGTCCAATGAAGGATTATAGAAGCAATCTTCCCAACCAATTCCACAAATGTCTTAGAATGTAAGAGAGAGAATTCCTGAGGGTCTGGAGAAAGACTGAATGGTGGGGAAGATGAAGAAAATATCTTGAAATTTGGGTCCAGTTTCTAGTTGGCTTTGAAGCCCTTTTTCTAAGAGCATATTTGAAATAGAAATGTAAAGAGAAAAAAACTCAATTAATTTAAGAGTAATTCCAAGTTGAGCTAGAAGAGAAAGAACAGAAAGCTAAAAGCATCCCATTTCTCAACTAGTCCTGAAAAGTGTACTCAATTTTGGCCACCGACAGGGAATAGAGCACATCTATCATTTCCCATTGTTGTGAATGTCTTAAGGTTATTGAACCAAAGGAGGGTCAAAGAATATAGAAAAATCAAACCAGTTTAGCAGAGTCTGAAAAGTCTACCTTAGATTTGGAAAGCAGCACAATGACGTCAGGGGAAAATCATTATTATTAGATTTAAACACTGAACATGATCATCATATCAAAAGACAATGCATTCGGTAAAACTCTATTAATCTCATGAAATGCTTGTTGCAAGCAGATTCTTTGTGGAAAGAAGTAAAGGGACAAAGTCACGGCAGAGTACCAGAGACAGAAGAGAGGTGTGTAGGTAGGGCAGAGTACCAGAGACAGAAGAGAGGTGTGTAGGTAGGGCAGAGTACCGGAGACAGAAGAGAGGTGTGTAGGTAGGTGAAGAGGAAGTATAAATTCAGCTGCCTACATCACTGACAAAAAGACTGCTTTAGCAAAATTTAAGAGCATGTCTTATTATTGCTTTCTTTGGTTTGATCATGAAGGAAAAGTGTACCATCTTGTCAATTAAAATAATTCTGCCAACTTATCTATGAATTCTTTCACAACAACTGCCCTAGCAATAACTTCCTCTCTTCTTTATATCTCAAGTTTTTATGTGTTTTACTTCTGATAGCTGCAAACATGGTCTGGAGAATTTTTCTTCTGTCATCCTGCTCTGCCAAGCTACTTTTTTCCCCTTGCCATCTCTCTTCTTTTCATTCATTATCACCATACTTCTGAAATAAGGATTCATTGATTTCTCTACTGCAGTACCCATCCATCCCTTTGTAATTTTTTGACTCTTTTATACCAATAATGTTTTTCTTTTGAATGGTAATACTACCCTGGTATTTGCCAAGTTTAATGGCCTTTTTATGAAATCAGTGTTATTGAGATATAATTTACAAACAATAGAATTCTGTAATTATAGGTGTGCAATTCGTGCATTTTAATAAATGTATACAGTTGTTTAACCTCCACTAGAATCACAATATAGAACACTCTCATCGCCCCAAAAAAGATTCCTGGTTCCTGAACTCCTCTGCATAAGGAATTCTCCTTCTTACCTTTAATTACTAAGATTCCTAAGACTACTTTGAATAACAGCAGCAGTGACTCCTTTTTTTTGAGATGGAGTCTTGGTCTGTTACCCGGGCTGGAGTGCAGTGGTGCAGTCTCTGCTCACTACAACCTCCATGTCCTAGGTTCAAGCGATTCTTCCGCCTCAGCCTCCCAAGTAGCTAGGACTACAGAAGTGTGCCACCATGCTCCACTAATTTTGTATTTTTAGTAAAGACGGGATTTCACCATACTTGCCAGGATAATCTTGTACTCCTGACCTCAAGTGATTCACCGGCCTCATTTCCTTCTTATTTTGTTTATATTTTCTTCCTAATTACAAGTAGTTTCCTCAAATAGCAAGAACAATGTGTTTTATCTCATTTACACCCTCCACAACATTACCCAGGGCTGGTCACAAAATTAAAATAGTCATTATAATGACAATAATAATATAATAATAATACTAACATTTATTGAGGGCTTGTCATTGCTGGGAAATGTGTCAAGTGCTTTAAATGGATTAAATTACTAAAATCATTGGAACACTGCATGAGATAGGTGTGATTATTGCTCCATTTTAGAGATGAGAAATCTAATCTTCAGAGGGGCAACTACAAGCAATTAAGTGGCTGTAACAGAAGACAGATCTGAGCAGTTTAACTCTGGATAATAAAATTGTACTTTGCATACGTTATTTCTCAATTATCATTATAGTAAAAACAAACATATGCATTTGTATTTATTTCCATCCACTTTTATATCGATGAATTTCATGCTCAGAATTTTACTTTTGAAGAAAGGCTGTGTTGGAGGAGAGGGAAGATGAGTTAGAGAAAGCTCTTTAGGGTTTCCATCCCTAAAACTTCAGCTTTTTAAAAAATAGCTGCGTTTTGAGAAACAATTACATTATTAACATTTACATTATTAACAATTACATTATTAGAGTAAAACATCCAAAGCGTCTCAGAAAACAAAAATGCTTCATAAGTGTGATAATGTTAACTTCACCTAATACGGCAACCTAAAATAAGTACTGCTAAAATATGTACTTGATAATTTCTACTTATACTAGATTCAAAACCCTTTAAGCATTTTTGCTATATAAAAGGTGTATCCATTTTGTTTAAATAACTACAATAATATCAGATTATTTTAAGAAAATCCTTCTCAAAAATTTATTAATTTAATTTTGCTAATTTGACTATAGAACCGGGCTCGAGTAATAATTAGATTAACTGTGCAAAATGGCATTTTTGCCTTCTCTATTTAAAAAAAAAATAAGCAAAAGAAAACTTGTTTCAAAATCCAATAATGCCTCTAGCCTACACATTTGAATTCTATGTTGTATCAATGAATATATAAACCATTAAACATAGAAAACGTATTTTTAGAGAAAACAGCAATTTTATATAGTAATGTGGTTACAGTCTGAATTGTCTTTGATACAGAGATAGACCAAACGACTTAGCATATTTTAGAAAAGAACAAGAGGCAGATGATCAACTATATGTAGATAAATACGAAATACATGTTGATGTATTTCAGGTTATAATGGTATCCTCCACCCTTTCCCCCCTTCATTTGGCCACTGAGGGAAACGTAATAACTGCTGATAATGAAAGTCTTACCCATGGTGAAAAGTCCTATCTTTACCATACATTGGGGACTAGCTTTTATATTGCTTCGGTAACTCTTAAACCTTTAAACTGCTCTTTCTAGGGCAAATTCTGCCCTCCAAAACTTAATTGGGCAGAATCCTATGTTGACTCAGAGGGAATAAAATGCTCTCAGAGTAAATCACTCACGCATTAATTTTTCCAAGGCATCGAGGTATCATTTAGTTCCTGGAAAGAGGTAATTTACCTCATGGTAAGTCCTAGGAGCTACTCACTGAGCAGTTTATTCCTAGGGAGAATGTA